ATGCTCCCTTGTATAAAGTTTTTTTTTCAACTGTCCATGAGATGCGCACGAGCACCCAACGGGGCATGCACACACTTTGGTGTCCAAAGAAAAAACACCCGTTTGCCGCGCCACGCCGCTTCTTTGCCGCGGCGCAGGATTGTGGTGTGCTCGGCACCTCCCCCCTACCACGGGACCTCCACGGTACGTCTGCTGGCATAACCGTGCGTTATTTTGCCCCGTTGCAAACAGCCATGCTTCCCCCCCGCATTTTCCTGCCTGTGAGCCCGCGGCTGTCGATACTTTAGGTGTCTTTGGGCAAAGAGTCCCTTTTAAAAGATGCTATGAATAAACAAATTGGTGATTGACCATGGTGCCGTTCACCACTTAAACTGTTTGTCAGTGGCCTTTATGTGCACACACACATTATTGTACTTGGGGGAAATTGCCTTAGAATAGGGCAGAAAAATAACAGGGAGGAGGGTTAAGTACCCCCTTTTCAATCATATCTTTGCTCCCATCGTTCATGCTTTCCCTCAAAATAAAAAGCCAACAAACTGAGGGGGGAGTGTTGAGGGCACTGATGTATATGCATTTTTTGTAAACATGAAGCCAGAGGATAGGATACCACAGCCTAAAGTTATTTCCAGTAATACTGATAGAGGGATAAAGAAAGAATAGAAATGTGTATTAATAGCTGTAGGTTACAATCTTTTGCTGTGGGAAACATCAGTACAGCTGGGGGGGATGGGCTGACATTGTCATACACCATGCTATCCTCCTACAAAACATTCCCTTCCCCCTTGGTTAAGTTTCGCCACTAGGCATTAATTTGTATTAGTATTAATCCTTTCCCCCCCCAAAGTCCCCAGATAGTTTACAATAAATATGCCACAGACATAAACAGTTACATTTCAAAAGCAACTTGCTGTAGAAGCAACCCCTCGTCTTCGATAGAGAATCACACAGGAATCAGTGAAAAGCTTTGTGAAATAACTGTGTCATACTCCCCCCCCCCCAAAAAAAGAGAAAATCCAATGATGATAATGGCTCCCTGTTGACTTCTTTGGGCATGCTGTTCCATAAAGTCAGAGCTGCAGCCAGAAAAGCCCAAGCTTATGGAGAGTCAGTGTTTGTTAATGGAAAATTGAAGCCAGTTGATTTCATGTAATGTTCTCTAGTTTAGAGGAAGGTGATCGGACTCACACAGTATTTCAACTATGGTATTTATACCCCACTTTTCTCCTCAGTTTGAATCCCAAGTGGCTTACAATATTGTTCTCTCCTCCTTCATTTTATCCTCACAACAGCAGCTAGCTTCAGTTGAGGAAGAGTGACTGGCACAAAGTCACTCTAGCAACTACACAATGATGGCTTTCTGATATTGCCCAAATGAATTTATTTATGTTTTGGGAGCCAGTTTAGAGGCGTAGAGACAATACACTTTAGATAAGTTAAACCATATATGAAGATGGGCTAGATGACAACAATAATCTATTAGTGAAGTTTGTGGCAAGAGATAGAGAAGTGTTTCAGTAAGGATTGGGTGGGGGGGAATTAACAAAACCAAGCCTGCTAAGTAAGTGATAGACAGCTAAATTTATACGTAACACCTGATTAAAAGTGTATGATTTTGATTCCTTCAACGTGCAGACACCTTGCTTCCCTCCTAAAAAGAAAAAAGCTAAAAGGGAGGCAGTCATGACATTCTGGAAATAAGAGAGTTGTAATATTTTCCTCTGGCTGGTTTGTGTTGCATCTAAGCCTGAAAATAGTTGATTAATTTTGCAGCCTTCTCGTAGATGTGTATTTTTCTTTAGGATAATACAATGATCAAGTGGATTCACAATTCATACTGATCTTTTGAACCTGCCAGTTTTAAAACATTCCAGTAAAGGCACAAAGCACAAATGGCTTCAAGTTTATTGTAAACATCAGTTTTTCTAGATGTTAACTGTTAATCCAGAGTAGCAATTTCTGCACCTGCAGATGATAGCAGAGTTTATTGGCCACTCCTTTTTCAACAGCTCGCCCTAAAGAGACAAAAATGGGGCAGTAAAGAATGCAACCATACGCTGCCTTTCCTGAGAGTAAATCTGCTGAGGATTGCTTTCAGAATTTCTGCAGATCACTGTTAGCAGAAGATACCCTCATCCATGGATTCCAACTGATTAGATGTGTTTTCACACAGCATGATTCCGTTTGGGTAGCAGAATAGCTATTTTTGAAAATAATTAGCAGTTAGTGGACCTGTTCTCTGTAGAAGATGCAGACATCAGGATTGCTTTTCAGAAGGGAGACTGGAAAAGATTCCGTGGCTCAGCATGGTGTAGCCCAAGGGTAATGAGATGGCAAATGATGTAAATATGTTTCTCTGGTATAAACAGGGATGGGTATGAACTGCATTTTTGTGGTTCACTTCGCTTAAATGCTGAACCATGAACAGATATGAACTGAGAGGTTGGTTTACCAACCAAATCAGTTTGTATCGGTTCATGACCCCTGCTTTCTGCTCCCCTCCAAAAGTGGCAGGGAGCAGAAAGCAGGAGTTCCTGTGCGAAAAGTGGTGGGGAGCAGAAAGCAGGTGTTCAAATGGCTTGGAGCATTTTAAACCCCTGCTTTCAGCCCTTCACAAAATACCACAAACTGCCTTAAAATTTAGGGAAATTTAGGGCGCCTCTTCAGTTTGTGAACCATGAACTGGTCAAAATTCTTCATGAATTTTTGTTCATGAGCTGGTTCATACCCATCCCTAGATATAAGAGTCTCTAAATCGCAGAAAGGCAATCCATTCTAACCAAATGTGTGCTGGGGGAAAATATTACGAGGCAAGGTATGTCAGAAATCCAGAACCCCTCATACAGCTTGATTTAGTGTTCTCCACCCCCCACACACTCAGGAATTGATACCATCCATTTCAGTTCTTTGGTACCTCCTTCTCCTACGTGTGTGAATGTTGGTTAAGTTCCTGTTCCCTTCCCTTGGACTGCTGTGTATGAAACTAACCTGCCTGTCTTGAATTGTGTTTCCTCTGCCTGATTTTTAGCTGCCAAATATGGAACTTGACCTTTGCCCGCCCTGAACTGCACCTCTGTCCCCGTCAGGATGACAGCAAGCATCTCCACTTGGCATGGCCCTTCATCAGACCTCACTTACTTTCCCATAAGATGTTAGATGGTATCTGTTTTTAGCCTGTTGTAAATGAGCTACAGAAGCAATACTCCCAGGTGGAGTAACCTAATACCTAATAATGTTCTCAAAATGTAGCTCAGTAGACCTGTTCAACCTTTTTGTATATGAAGAATGTACATGAACGATAGGTGAAATATTAGCCCTTCTGTTGTGCCTCTTAAAAGACTTCCATAGATGTTCCAGCTGTTATTTTTACTGTTGCACATGGGAGAGAAACATATGTGTGGTGCTCATTTGGCCTTGGCAAAAGCCAGGGAAACAGCTGAGAAAGCTATAGTTAAAAAGGAATGTGCAGGGTGATCTCTTAATTATTAGGAGTTCCATCATGAGGAAACTGGAAGGCTAAGGAGGTGAAAAAGGGGGGAAAAATGACTGGAACATGCTCACTTTTTGGCATTACTCACAAAGTTTTATGTGATGGCAGCTAAAACTGGGTGCCAGGATGATAAAACTTGATACTGTTGATTGTAAAGGACTGAGGACCAAACTACTGATGACATGGAGTCATGTATAGTTTGTTCCCAATTATTATTTTTTTCCTGGTGTGGAACACAGTATGGAGGCTGCAAACTAGATCAGAACACTGGCGTGGAGATATGGGGGGAGGGGCAGGTGCTTATTCCTGTGCTTCCTTGGTTGCTTCTGTCTCACAAAACCCATGATCCCTTTTGAAAGGCAGGAAAAATGACATGAAGGTCAAGAGATCAGAACCTCCTCCATCCCTGTCTCTGATATTCTCCTCTCATTTCTGCAGTCATATTCTTCCGTCTAACTCCACATACAACTGAGAAATGCAAGTAGTTTGGGCCAATTTTTTTTCTTAATTGTTTATGCTGCCTAGTAGTATCCTTCCAAATGAGTATAGTAGTATCCACCAAATGAGAAGGGAGCACTCACTGGAGAAGACCCTGATGCTGGGAAAGATTGAAGGTCAAAGAAGACGGGGATGGCAAAGGATGAGATGGTTAGACAGTGTCATAGATGCAACGAACATGAAATTGAGCCAACTTCAGAGGACGGCGGAAGACAGGAAGGCCTGGAGTGATCTGGTCCATGGGGTCGCGAAGAGTCGGACTCGACTGTGTGACTGAACAGCAACAAAGTATCCTTCTTTTACTTTGTAGTTTCCCAATTGTTGCTGGCTTTGGCTAAGCAGTATATAAGAGAAGAGGGCTACACTGGAGATGGAGCAAAAAACCCACTTTCTGTTCCTGCTGGAACTGCTTTGGCTATACAGTCATGCAGAATCCCCGCCCCCCCATAAGAAACATATGCAAAACATGTAGGGACAATGCAACTAAATAAAATAAATTTTATTCCTGCACAATTGTTCTCCCCCCACATCCACTTTGGCTAAGCAATACCATCTTTATAGATCCTGCCAATGAACCTTGTGATGTATTTGTCATTTTTTCCTAAAGTCCTATGTGTGGTTATAAATTGTGTTGTATTAGCTGTGCACTTCTTTTTCATTATTTATTTGCAGCTTCATCCAGCAAATCACTTAAGAGATCCCATACGGTTTTGATTAAAGCTGGCAAGCACCTCTTTCAACCATCAACCATTATCCTATCTTCATGGAATTTTTTATTTTTTAACCTAAAATAAATTATCTTTCACTAAATAATAGAAGGATTAATCTTGCTTTGTTAAAATTTATTTTTGCAGGATCAGTTTGGAATTTTGAAGGACATTGTTAATTTGAAAATTGTGGGGAAAGGCTCTAATTATATTCAGGTGTTTTGGATATATTGTTTTCCTTTGTATGCAATGAAATAATTTCTAAATTACCCTAGTGTGTTCCATTTAAATTAATTTTCTATTTACAGTGAACGGTTTTTCCTAAAACTGAACCGGAATGGCTTGCCAAAATGTCCAGAGAAGCCAGAAAGACATTGTTCTCTCTTTGTGGTGAGTCTTTTCATATTTAATTAATTTTATAATTTAAAAAATGAAAAGGGTATTATGGTATTTTATTGCTGGTAACCCAATTGCTGAAGTAATGCACAAGCTACAGTGAATAGTCAGATAGTAACATCCAAGATGAGTTTATAAGAACAAAACACTATGCAAAATGACAAAGACCTACAGTCACTTTGGCCCAGTATCCTTTCACTGGGATAGATTGTACCACTCTACTGAGCAAAGTTTATTCATTTATTTAAATATTCATACTCCTCCTTTCATTTTGGTTCAAGTTTGAGGTCTTCCACAAGTCTAAAGAGGTTTCCTTCAACTCAAGTGGTTCTTCTGTCGGATGGTTGGACCCACCCCACTAGTTACAGGCATTCACAGCATATAGATATGATGACCACCTGGACAGCTTAAACATGTTTGGTGTTAGAATGTTGGACTGTGATCTCTGTAACCAGGGTTCAAATCCCCATTTTTCCATGAAGCTCACTAGATAATCTTGGGTCAGTTGCGCTCCCTCTTAGCCTCACCTACTTCACAGGGTAGCTCTGGTAGTAAAATGGGAACCATGGATGCTGCTCTGAGCTCCTTGGAGGAAGCATGGCATAAAGCTGTACTAACTAGGTAAGACAGATGTCTCTCTCTGAATAGTAGTTTAGTTCCAAAAGCAAAGAGGCCTTCCATAACCTGATCCTTAACATGTTTATTCAAATGGCAGTGGAACTTGGTTTCTAAGGAGTAGAATAGATTTAAATGAGGTTTTACATGGGAGCAGGTCTGTTGGACCTGTTGGATTTATTTTTGCAGTCACTTCATTCAAGTAAACAAGCACAGGATTGGATTGTAGGGATATCAGCCTTAATATACTTAACCTAGAGTTAATGTGCAATCCCTTATCAACTTCCTGCCATCTTCCTGCCTTCTGGGATGTTTTGTATTTCAGAGATTGTGATTTCACCTGCGGTGGTTATGCAACATCTGATAGAAAAGGATACAGTCAGAATCCTGTACAGAACTTCACTGCACATTTTCTGCCCTAAACATAGGCAATTCATGTTTTGTTCAAATAAATACTATATTAAAGTTTTCCTTTAACTGTTTGTTTGTTAAAAATCAAAGACATAAAAATGTTAAGTATCACATGTTAATTGTGGACTGCTCTTATTCTCTGCAGGATTTAGGAACCAGTGAACTCAGGAAGGACATCTATATCACTGTGCACATTATACGCATAGGTATGCAAACTGGTTTCCCAATCCCTTTTGGTTAGAAAATAGTATGTAAACTAAGAATGACAGGCAAAATATTTTAAGTAGCCTTCTGTAAGCTCCTCTGGGGAACCCTGAAAGTAGTATTGTAACAGTCTGTTTCAAACTAGCTTTAGATCCAGTTGTGACAAATTGCTTGTCATGAGCTAAAACTGTTTCAGACTGCAAATAGTAGATCACATGACAATGTTGTCCCATAGAAAGCTACATGTCACGATGTTCTAATTTACTTGTCTCCAGGCCTACATTAGACTTCTATAGGTAAGGACCCCTCCCCCCAGCAGGAGACCATTCAAACATACAATCTCCACTTCCAGTCTGAGGCTGTCCAGTCCAGAAATGAATTTTACCACGTTACAAGTTGTCTAGTTTGTGTTGTAGAACAGAAGAGGAAACAGTTGCTAATTGTACCTGGGTCTCCTTACAATGATAGTTCTGGCCTTTCATTTGATTTATCCTTTTTCTACTAACATCAGTTTTTTTCTCATATGACGAAAGCATTGATGTAGTAAAATATCCTAGCACAGTTTTACATATGGCTAATGGTTTTCTAGACAAATCTGATTTAATAAAAAAACCCCAATGTCATGGTAGTATAGGAGTGAAGAGTGATTAAGCTCCTTATTTTGAGAAGCTGTCACATAGGCTGCCTTGAAGTAAATGAAATAATCCTCACCTGTCATATGTGCTGGTTCTCGCTTTCTCTCTGTGTCTTTTTTTATACCTAATTTGGCCTTTAAAGCTATAATAGCACCTTAGACATTCAGAGTTTGGGGCATCAATACAGAGGTGACCTCCAAGTTGTTTTTCTTTCCAGTTGAAGCAGATAAAATGGTGTGTGAAGGATGCGATACTTGCCATTGAATAAACTGCAACTCAATCCAGAAAAAAACCTATTATTTTGCTGTTGGTTAATAATACAGCTGATTGAGTAAATGCTTGTTCTAAAAAGGGTTGCACTTTCTCTCGGGAAAGCTTGGAGGTCCTTTTCAGTTCACAGCTGTAGACTGAGATGCAGATCTTCTCTGGACCATTTGGTGCCTTGAACCAGCTTTGGCAGCCCTTCTTCAAGAATAGTGATTTGGCCACAGTTTTATATACTCATGTTGCATCCTGGTTGGACTACTGCAGTGCACTTCATGTGGAGATGCCTTTGAAGACTGCTTAGAAGCATCAGCTGATTCAAAATGTAGGGGCTAGGTACTAGGTGGTTCACGTTACAGGGTCCATAGCTCACTAATTATAAAAGCTCTAGGTTGGCTGCTGGTTTGCTTCCAAGCCGAATTCGAAGACCTATTTAAAGCATTTTGTTGTGTAGAACCAGGGTACATCAGAGGCATTTATGTACCCTCAGAGACTGGGCTTGGGCTTCCAGGTTGAGTGCTCCAGGCTCCTGCTGCCACATGATGGAGCAGTGGGAGCAAAAATGGATGGAATGGGGGAAATGGCATTGGCAGTGCTCTAGGAATTTTCAAAATATCTATGGTAAAAACTTGCTCGGATTGCTCTGAGTCACCTCCAAGAACTGATGTTCTGATGTAATATGCAGTGTGAGTAACAAGCCTCAGTGTCCATCATAGAGCCCTAGTTGTTCTCCACTTGGACAATGGTTTTGTTTTGTTTTTTACAATGGGTGTATGATAGATGGGAGAAGATTCCACTCTTTTTTATTGCCCAAGCAAATTTGAAATACTGAATGGAATGGGGGAAAAGAAACCCAAGGTGGTTTACGAAGGCATCAAGAGTCACACTTACAAATTAAATAAACTTAGGTGTATTTGTTACCCTTAAATCTTGTGTTCTCATCAACCCATATAACCCATGGCAGGCTCTATAGGATCGGGGGGGGGGGACTCCTGGTCTGTATCAGCTGTGCTATCTGTTTTAAGGACTAAGTGATCTTGTGTTAAGTGAACACTCTCATATTCCTAAAGCTGAAGGTGGACATTTTACTAGCAAAAGAAGAGTGTGGCTGCTGAGGTTGTTCACAATCCTCCAACCTATGGTAGTTGTTTTAGGGTGGTTAAATATAAACAGTGGACGGCCTGGATCAGGAGTTGTGACAGTTACTTCTGGGTACGCAACCAGAAGTGATGTCACAGCATTGCACAACACCATCTTACACAGTCCCTCCCCAGTTCTCTCTCTCAGAAGTTGCCAAACAACCCTAGACCATGCCTTTCCTAAACTGGAAACTAAATCTGCAATTCATTCTGAACAAATCCTCCCGATCAGGAGGGAGGGGAGGGTGGTATACAAATCAAATAATAGCAATTTAAAAAGCTTACCCAGCACCAAATTTACTACAGGCCATTGTTTGTAAATTATGGGGTGCAGGACATGTAAGTGCACCTCCAGGAAGAACTGGGGTGTAAAATCCATTACTAAAAATAATTTAAAGATTCAGAACTACCGTCAGATCTAAGGAAAAGTGTGGAGCCAAGTTGAGGGTAGCAGAGAGAGCTGGGAGGCAGAACGGCGAGTCCCATTTCTGCAAGTCCTAGAAAAAAGAGCGAGCACTAAGAGCTGGTGGGCTGTGTTCAGACAGGTCGGCGTATTGTTTCCTTTGCCAGTATGATGTAGTGTCAGGTATGGAATGGGGAGAGCCAATGTGGCTTATGGGTGATCCTGAATTAGTCACTACTTTTTAACCTAACGTATCTCCCAAGGTTGCTCTTGTGATGAAATAGCAAAGGTGTAGCCAGGTTTCCCTTGTAGGAAAGAAACTGAGAAATGTGATAATTATAATCATGGCAGGTAATTTTAATTCCTTTTCATACACACACTATGGAAACAAAAAATGTGTCTAGGTTTCTATCAGAAATTTAACTTTACAAGAAATCTGTACTTGGGATTACAGTAGGTTGTATGACAAAAGAGGTTTTGGGTTCAAATATGTAGGAAGAGGGTTAGAACTTAAAGGGCTTGCCTGTGATTTGTTGGTAAGCTATGCAGGGGTCATTTCGTAGATAAAGAGGTGCAGGAGCTGATTAGCATAGCTCATTAGCATAACTTATTTGCATATGTCACACCCCCTGACATCACTGGAAGTGTGTCAGAAGGCAACATCCACCGCTCAGGCCCAAAAATCTCCAGGTATTTCCCAACTCAGAGCTGGCAAGCCTACCTGATGGCACACGTGGGGAAAAACAAACCAACCACCCATGTCAGGTAAAAAGGGGGGATACCAGGATACCAGGTCAATATATCTTTATTCTCCTTGGCATTGATGGCTGAGGTGCTTTTAGTGTTCCTTTTCTTTTTGACTGGCAGCTTTCCTCTCTGTTATAGTTGACTGTAGGTTTTATATCACTGCCATTTAGTGTTATTTTTGTCAGTCACAACAGGGTCACTTTCAGAGAGGAAAAGCAGGTTATCAATTTTTAAACAAATATAATGCTGACAAGTCTGGATCCAGAACAACAACAAAATCACATCCGCTAATTTTTCCCTAAGCAAAACCCAATGATCTAGAGTTGTGGTCTTCAGCCTAGGGATTGGGTGGCAGACAGAGCCACTTGCCCCTCCTCCCCCCAGCCATTTGGAAGTCCCCACACATGTATAGACACAGCAAGGGTGCCATGGCTCTTTCTTCTTCAGTCTGATTAGAAATTTAATCCAGAGCAGCCAGCCAGGCAGCCAACTGATACAACCAAATTCCAGACCTGGACGGCAGCAGGTGCATGCTGGAAGAGGGACACCACTAGTTTCCTTACTCATGCTGTTTACACTTGGGACAGCTTGTAAAAAGAAAATTAACAACTTGTGCGGGCTCACAGCACTAGCAGCCAAGTGTCTGATTGTACAAAAGGAGCTCAAAGAACAAATGAAGAACAAAACATCTCTCTCCTTCTTGGGCCTGGTCCCTGAAAGCAGCATTTGAAGCACTATTTGGAGGGTATATCTGTATACAGTATAAATAATAGGGTTATTTCATGAACATTCACACCAGTTAATTTCTTACATGGTCCTAGACCACTGATCCTCATCAAGTCTTTGGGTCCCACTCCCATATAGCACTTTGTCACAAATTAATTGCTTATATCTGGGATTCATTTTGTTTTTATACTTGGGATACATTTACACACATGCACAAATAGCCATACAGCCTTCTAAATATATCACAGTCAATATTATAAAATCTGTAACTTCTGCAAAGCTGGATGTAGCTGTAACCACAGAAGTAAACACTGAAAAAAGTGTTGCCACAGGCAACAAATGACATCTAAGAAGGAAATACCCACAATGCATAGTTCTACTTTCACTACATTAGTGTAGCTATGTAGTGGCTCTAGGAATCGACAGTACCATAAAATGGCACAGGAGTGATTTTCTGGAATGATGTTGACACAACAGAGCATGTAGTCAAAGTGGAAAAAAATACATGCCACCAGAAATCTACATAACAATCATATGTTCATCTGGGAAGCTGCAGTCTTTTAGGAACCAATAAAATCTGGAAAATCCCACAGAAAGCAGATGACATGGATTTTTTTTTAATTGTTCCTTGTGTAGCTTTTATTTATCTTTATTTATTCAAAACAGTTATTAGCCACCTTTCTAACTTGTGGGACTCATGGCAGCTTACAATGTAAATAAACCAGGTATTTAAAAATAACAACAATTGACAGTGAGTCTCTTTCACATGGGCCTACAGGGAGTGAAAATTAAATACAAGCCAGAACATTTTCCATGTGTCAGCTGAACAATGCGCAGCCCGGGAGAGTAGAGGACGGGGCAGGCAGACAACTTACCTTCCTTCTTCTGGCTCCTCGTGGCCCGACTGAGGGCTGCTAGGAGTAGGGGGCAGGGCTTGTTCATGCGCACAATCCCTGGGCTCCTCACTGCCGGAGCATCACTCCTGCACGCTCCGGGAGGAAACGAGCCCTGAAGCTATGCATGATTGGTGTGAAGTTTAAAAAATTCTAGAGCTGTTAAGATCAAGAGAGTCATTCAGGGAGTCAGTT